CTGGGAGTTGAAATCCGGATATCTTAAAGGGAATTCTGGGAGTTGAAGTCTGAATATCTTAAAGGGAATTCTGGGAGTTGAAGTCCAGATATCTTAAAGGGAATTCTGGGAGTTGAAGTCCAAATCCCCTAAAGGAAATTCTGGGAGTTGAAGTCCGGATATCTTAAAGGGAATTCTGGGAGTTGAAGTCCAGATATTTTAAAGGGAATTCTGGGAGTTGAAGTACGGATATCTTAAAGGGAATTCTGGGAGTTGAAATCTGGATATCTTAAAGGGAATTCTGGGAGTTGAAATCCGGATATCTTAAAGGGAATTCTAGGAGTTGAAGTCCAGATATCTTAAAGGGAATTCTGGGAGTTGAAGTCCAGATATCTTAAAGGGAATTTTGGGAGTTGAAGTCCAAATACCCTAAAGGGAATTTTTGGAGTTGAAATCCAAATATCTTAAAGGGACTTTTGGGAGTTGAAGTCCGGATATCTTAAAGGGAATTCTGGGAGTTGAAGTCTGAATATCTTAAAGGGAATTCTGGGAGTTGAAGTCCGGATATCTTAAAGGGAATTTTGAGAGTTGAAGTCCAAATATCTTAAAGGGAATTCTGGGAGTTGAAATCCGGATATCTTAAAGGGAATTTTGGGAATTGAAACCCAGGAATATGAAATCAGGGAATTCTGGGATCTGAAGTCCTGGCAATTTAAAGGGAATTTTGGGAATTGATGCCCAGGAATATTAAATCAGGGAATTCTGGGATCTGAAGTCGAGGCAACGAATCCCACCAACCCTCTGTTTCCAGGGGGTCAATGAGGGGAGGAGGACGAGTGTGCAAGTAGATGAGTGTGCAAACCCCAAGCCAACAGGCAGCCTGGAGGGGGACTTGCACACCCTGCGAAGGGTACCTGGAAACACCTGGAGGGCACCTGGTGGCCCAATCCCAGGGAGGGGGCACCGGTGCGGGGGGAGAGAGAGAGAGAGAGAGAGAGAGAGAGAGAGAGAGGCCAATGGGGGTGGGGGGAGACTCACATCCTGCGCACCGTGTAGGGGGTCCCGTCCACCCACTTCCACACCTGCCCGTTGTACTTCAGGCCAATCCAAGCGTCATGGGGTTTCGTGAGCCGTAACACAAATTGCTATGCCGAGAGAGAGGAGGTGGGGAGAACAGGTATGAGCAGGACACCCAGGGTAGAGAGATTAACAGAGTGGGAGGGGACCTTGGAGGCCATCTAGTCCAACCCCCCCCCATCCTCAAATACTGCAAGGCTGCTCTCCTGTCTCCCCTGGTCTTTTTGTTCCTTCAAATCAGATCAAAGTCAGATGGACAGGAAGGGACCTTGTAGGTCATCTAGTCCAACCCCACCACCTCCCGCTCTCAAATACTGGAAGGCTGCTCTCCTGTCTCCCCTGGTCTTTTTGTTCCTTAAAATCAGATGAAAGTCAGGTGAACAAAGTTGGAAGGGACCTTGTAGGTCATCTAGTCCAACCCCCCCGCCCTCAGATATTGGAAGGCTGCTCTCCTGTCTCCCCTGGTCCTTCTCTTCCCTAGACTAGCCAGGCCCAGTTCCTTTAACCGTTCGTCGTATGTTTGAGTCTCCAGTCCCCTCATCCTCCTGGTTGCTCTTCTCTGCACTCTTTCTAGAGTCTCAACATCCTGTTTATAATGTGGTGACCAAAACTGGATGCAGCTACTCCAGGTGTGCCCTTACTAAGGCTTTACAGAGTGGGATTAGCACCCTCCCTTGATCTGGATTGACTCCCTCTATCTCGGCCTTCCGCCTTTGCCTGTCCCCGCCATCTCCCTCTCCGACGAATGGGGACATCGAGGCACTGACCGCTTCCAAGTAGCTGGTGATGGTCACCAGGTGGGCATTCTTCTCTTCGCAGTCCTCTTTGGCTTCGGTCCAGCGCCTCTCCTGGGACGAGAGCCAGTAGCAGCCCTGCGCGAAGGCGTGCCAGCCCTTGGGGCAGCAACCGCCCCCCGGCCCTTGGGGAAGAGATGGGGAGGGGTCAAGAGGGCAACTCCGTGGCGGATGGGACCAGAACCCCCCCCCATTTCCCGGGGCGGGGCAGACAGACGTTCCTCCGCGATATCAGCAGTCCTTGGCTTACAGAGTTCGCTTAGTGGCCGCTCGAAGCAACGACGGCCAATGTTGCGCTTCGCGATGGGAATTTTGAGCTCGGTTGTGGTCGTCAGTTGGAAGGGACCTTGTGGGTCATCTAGTCAACCCCCCCCCCACCCTTAAATATTGGAAGACTGCTCTCCTGTCTCCCCTGGTCCTTTTGTTCATTAAAACCAGATTAAAGTCAGATTAACAGAGTTGGAAGGGACCTTGTAGGTCATCTAGTCCAACCCCCATCCTCCCAAGTGGGAGACCCTACGCCATTTTTGACAGAAGGCGGTCCAGTCTCTTCTTGAAATCTTCCAGGGATGAAACTGCCACAACTCCATTACCAAAAAGAGTCTTCCTTAACAGATTAACAGAGTCAGAAGTTGGAAGGGACCTTGTAGTTGGAAGGGACCTTGTAGGTCATCTAGACCAACCCCCACTCCCCCTGCCCAACCCCGCACCATTTCTGACAAGTGGGCAATCCTGTCTCTGCCTTGAAAGCCTCCAAGGGATGAAGCTTCTACAACCTCCATCACCCATGAGAGTCATCCTTAACAGAGTCGGTCGGAAGCGACCCTGGAGGTCATCTAGCCCAACCCCCACTCCTCCCAAGCAGGAGACCCTTCACCAGAGGGCAGCCCAGTCTCTTGTTGCCTGTGCAATGAAGAGGACACTGGGCTGGGAAGGTCCCACCCCCCCCACGGCTGGCACACACACACACACACACAGACACACACACCCCAAAAACCAAGCTCACCTGTCCGCTTGTGTTTTATGTCTTCCAAATCACAGTTCAGTTTCTGGAAACTCCCTTGAAGTTCCTTGATCTGGTCCAGGATATGGGACTTCACTGGAAGTGGAGAAAAGAAGAAGGCCTCCTTGTTGGGTTTGACTCCTGTCTCCTGAACAGGTGGACTTTTCAACCCCCTCCCTAACACTCCCAAATATACCGTCCGT